TGGGCGTGGTTGAGGTAGCAAGGATGGTACAGGGCAAGGCAAGGTTTTGGTATGTTCCTATGGTCATCATCGAAAACAACAAATCAAAAGTCATCAAAAACAAAAACAATATCAGTCCGAGGCTGTAAATCTTTACAGGAGGAAATTGTCTTTCCTCTCCTGGAGGACCTGGTGGATTTGAACTACTGATTTTAAAGTTCTGACAACACCAAGGTTCTCTAAAACTAAATAGATGATATCTAATAAGAAAACAAAAATTTGGGAAGTACCTGTTCCTAATGGGTAAATACTTATTGGTAGAAAGAAATATGGTTTTAATATAATGCAATATTTCCAGTCATAAATTTCTATTTTGAGATTTTTACTTAGATGGGATTTTTATATATGAAAGTAACATATATTCTCTTGGATTTTTCCTTTGGCGGCTTTCTATTAAATCTAATATATTTTACAGTTGGCAGAAGCTGTAAGGATTCTTTAGATGGCATAGTTTTCTAGAATAAGAATTTTTTTTTAACCAAGTGAACCAGTTCTCAGATCTGATGTTGGACTTCCTTACACATACATTTTCTTTATGTAAAAGTGCTTTTTAAACTGAATTTGCAGCAACTCAAGCTTCTTTCATGTTCCACATCCTTTAGAAGTTGGAATATGTTAAAAATACATTTTTAGGCTACACCAAGAAAAAGAAAATGTAGGACTAGAGAATTATGTAGCAGGAAAAATATATGGCACATCCGAGTTAAAACCATTTCTTTAGCTCTAATTATGAAAGATGGAAAGATTGAAACTTTGCGCATCTATAAATCTCAAACATAATGGACAATACTATAAGTTCCAAACATAATCCCTTCTTCAGTATGGAAAGATATTTAAATATTATGCTTTCTGTATAATTTATTTAAAATTATAAACTTATCTATGGAATTTTTTAAAAGTAGAACATTTATTTTGACTCTAACATTTTGTTAATCGAGTAGAAAGTTCTCAAAACTTCCAAAGATCATCATGATGAGAGGCGCTCTTCTACTGGAGAGGATCAGGGCACTGGGGAGAACAATGATTTAACCTATGCCTTTGGGTATGGAAATGCCGAAGATGACATTTTCCAAAATGACCCCCTTTAGCTTACATTTTAGCTGTTTAGCTCAATGCAGTCAGGAACCTGTACAACCTAATTGTAACAGGATTTCTTTCACTTTGTATTTCTCTCAAATTGCAATGACTACTGTTGTGTACACCTTCCTTCCCACCATCCCCTGACTCTTCCCTAAATCTGATACTTAAGTAATATTCATTCTTCAAAAATTCGCTAAAATATCTTTTTTTCTGGGACCTGTTCCCCGACCATGTCATAATTTGGGTAGGTGTCTCTTACAGGAGTGCTACTGCACCCTTTCAGAAGATTTGATGGACTTCCTTACTGGCCCTACACCATGAATAATAAGATCTCCCATTTCCACCCAGCTTTTCAGAGATAGAACTCAAACTTTTCTCTGTTCTTTAGGTGAATAAACTACACAGCTAATGGAACTTCAGCTTCAGGGATCCTCCTTTGCTGAGACACTGGCAAGGGCCCTGACAATGGTTGTCATAATTGTATGTTTTTACTAAACTTTGAAGAATGAGGTAAGTTATTTTGTTTTCTTCTTAAAGAGAAACGTTTGAAATTTTTGAGCCTAAGACCCTCTAGAAGGATACAATCGGCTTAGATTATATCACATAGTATGACTCAAATTTACTCACAAGTGAGTTTTGGGTGAGCCAAAGGTATACTTAAAGATTTATCCATGTAGTATCAAAACTTTTCACCTGTCAAATTGTTAACACGTCCCTCCCCTCCCGCCCTTCTGTTTCCTACTAGACTTCAAGTTCCTGTGGGCAAGGGTATGGCTTATTCATGTTTGCATCATGGTGCAAAATATAACATTGAATACTGTAAGCCCTCAGTAAAGATTTATTGCAAAATCAAGTGAATTTTTGTTGGTTTTTTTTTCTTTCATGTTACTTTTCTATATCCCAGGTTTAGATTAAAAACACAAAATTTATAGTCTGTTATGTTTAATCATTTTAACTAAGATGATTACTATCTCATTAGATCTGAGAGTGATTCAGAAGGAAATTAATTCATTCATCTTAAGAGAGAATATAGAAACCAGACTATTTGCAGAATTAGTTAATGCATATTTATGTTCTAATTATAATTATCAAAGCATTCCTTTAGGCAAATTCCCAGTTCTAACTTATTTTTTTAGTCATAAGCTCTGATTTCTTAATATAAAGTTACAAAAATTTGCCTGTTAACTCTTGACAAGTTTACTAAGAGAAGGAAACATATGAAAAGTGTCACGGCAAAGTAGGCTTTAGTTGATTGAGGGTTTTTATTTCAGCACAACTAGTCAAACTTCATCTTACCTACTTTGGCACACTGTTAGGAGGTGCTATTCTTTAGTAAGGAAGATCATGCTTGGAAGAATGGAAGGTCAGTGAAAGACCCTCAATGAGATGAACTGACACGGTTTCCAGAGTAATAGGGTCAAGAGTGTCAGAGATGATGAGGATGTCACAGGGTTGGACAAAGTTCAAATCTGTAGTTCACAGAGTTGTGATAAGTGGCAACTAACAGTAATAATTCAAATCATACTTGAATAGGTGGTCGATTGCCATTGAGATTATGGTTCAGGAATGTTCACTTATCTATCCCCTTGTATGCCAAAAAACTGTTACTGTACTTGAATTCTTTAATAAGAACTTAGACAAAACACTACTTTCCAATTAGTTCTGATTTAAAAAATATGTGTAGTCAATTTTATAGGATAGGTTGAATGCTATAAGACACAACTGAGAGCAAAGCGTGGTTTGCTCACCATACTGTCTTGAAGTCTCTTTTCCTTTCTGGAAACTTGGGTCCCAACATTTTTTGTTCATATTTTGTTTCATTTCAAAGATTAGGTTCATTGAAAAAAGCCCAGAACATAGAAAATAAAAATGCTGATCTCATAATCAATACAGTGATGCCACTCTCAGCAGTTCAAGCTGTGGTTCAAGAAGAGGACCAAAGTGTTGGGCAATTTCTTTGTCCCACTACTCTTCAGACTACTCTCTAATTCTTACACATTAGGAGCAGTGGGTAGGGGAAGGTAGAGACATGAGATTAAAGTATCTTATACTACTGGTGTATTCTATGCTAACAAAATCTAGCCATTGGTGCCTGCATCAAGGTAACTATTGCATTTGTGTGTTCCTTAATAGTACACTGAATTAAATGTGGTAAGTGTGATTTTTCAAGCCAACTTTCTGCTCTTTTTACTGCAAACATACGCACTAGTCTTTTAAAATGAGATGGAACATCACCAATGAGATGAACTCTGATAATAATTGCGATGATTAGCTCAACATATCAAATATATTGAACACAAAGATGGTACCAGATTGATCATCATTTCGTTCTACTGTGCATGGGGACTCCATGAGTTGAAGCCTACTCAACAGTGGCTCACAATACTTGTTGCATTTTTAAGGAATGTTGGTGGTGTCATGTGTAACATATTACACTGCTCATCTAAAGGCCAGCAGTGTGAATCCACCAGCTGTCCCAAGGAAGAATGAAGGAAAGTCCCTCCTGAAAAGATTAACAGCTTGGTGGAGGGTGACTAGGGGTCAGAGTCAACCTGTGACAATGGGTTTGGTTTTATTTATTTTAATTAAAGTTAAAATTTGAAAGAAACTCATACCCTCTTTTTTTATCATCACTGATTTTTTAACAGGAGCTTTGGTGGGATAGTCCCTAGGATGTTGTGCTGCTAACCCAAAGGTTGAACTCTCTGTGAGTGTGAAACCATCAGTGGTTCTTCAAGAGAAAAAGGAGAAATCTCTTTTTTGTGCAATTTATAGGCTCAGAAATCTGATGGAAGGTCACTTTGAGTTATAACCAATATGACAGCCACAAGAAAAAAAAAGAATTGAAAGTCATTTGACTCTGTGGTTGTTATTATGTGCCCTTGAGATGGAACTGACTCATAGCTCATGCTCCAGCAGGTTTTCAGATGATTAAATCTCACAGGGGGAGATTGCCCATCCACCCTTCTACTGTGGAACAGCGGATGGATTCAAATCTCTGCCTTGGGATTGTAGCACAACATCTTACCACTAGAAATTTGACTCTAGACCTTACTTTTAAATTATTAGAGAAATACTGGGGCTGTATTTCTAACTTCAGTGAAGCAACATATATCACAACATTCCACTTTTTCTTTATTTATTTCCTCTTTATACCTTGAAGCATTTTGGTGCTCTGATTTATATTATTTAAAATAATTTTAAACTCCCTTTTGGAATCACTTCTAGTTTTATACTGTTGGGATGCATTTAATTAGTGTGAAAAAACTTATATTGATATATCAATCTAGCACTCTAAAAATCTTATATTGAGGGGAGTTCTGGTAGCATAGACCATTTTGCTACTATATCAAATTTATAGCCTTGTTGTTGTTGTTGTTGTTATGTGCCGTCAAGTCGTTTGCGACTCATAGCGACCCTATGTACAACAGCCCTAAACCCTGCTCTATCCTGTGCCAATCGCACTGCCTCTGACACACCCATCCCGATTATCCCAGTCACTGAATCATTCCACCTCATAGAGGGTCTTCCCCTCCTGTGCTGTCCCTCCACCCTATCAAGAATGATGTCCCTCTCCAAGGACCTGTCCCTCCTTGCAACATACCCAAAGTATGTCAGACGAAGCCCCAGAATCCTTGCCTCCAAGGAGTAACTTGGTTTAACCCTCTCCAGGATGAATCTGTTTGTTAGATTTATAAAATCCCTAGTGATTTTAACCCATCAGAGGCTACTCAGGAGAACAATGGGCATTCTCTTCCCATGAGATTTATAGCCTTGGAAATGTGATGGATAGTCAGGACTCAGATCTGACTATATAGCAATGAATTTGATAAAAAGTAAGCAGTCTTTTGGATACCTTTCCAATAATAACATTTGCTTACCAAACACGGGGTACCCAAAATCCAGGCTTTTTCTCTCCAGGTCTTAGTTTTAAATTCAAATTCTTGGACACACTTACATTAATTCGGAATATGCCATTACAATCTTCCTAGAGTAGAAAGAGGAGGGGGTGGGGGGAGGAGGAAAAGAAATCTGGTCAGAAAATGAACTCAGAAGAGAAAGGCAGGAAGCATCTTTTACATAGAACAGTGTACATTTTTGAAGTAACAATAATGATAGCTCAGCTATACAGCAAACAGTAGAAAGGACTTCGGTGAAAATAACAAAGACAGGCGTAGATGGAAGCTGGCAGTGAAAACATTAGGAAAAGTCACTTGCTCATTTTCTGTTTAATGCCTCATTTTTGTTATTTTTTATTATTATTATTTCTTCTATTCCATTTTTTTATTCATTTTAATGAACATTTACAGAGATTTTGGATTTTCATTATCATTGTTGCACTTTTTTTTCTTTACAACCACCCCCCTTCGTTCCTCTCTTTGAAAAGCAAAAGATAAACTTCTTAATTGGTATAAAATCCCCCCACTCCCAGCCCTGCCGCCCCTGCCCCCCACCCCAAATGCACTCCACTATGCAACCTTAATTCTGGATTCCTATGCTAATCACAATATGCTATCATATATCACTTTTAAACTGTTCTCTCTCTCATCTGTTTCAGTTCAGTATACATAATCTATCCAGTTTTTCTCAGTCTTACCCCAACCCTGATGTCAGTCACTTTCTACAACAGTGGCACCATGCAGTGTTTGTCCTTTTATGACTGAGATATTTTACCCAGCATAATGTCCTCCAGGGTCACCCATTTTGAATAATATTGCATGAGTTCCTTGTTTTTCAATGCAGCATAGTATTCCGTTATGTGAATATACCACAACTTCTATCCATTCGTTTGTTGATGGGCACTTAGGTTGTTTCCAATTCCTAGCTATTGTGAACAAAGATATCATCTCACTCCAGTCAGAATAGCAAAATTTAACACAACAGCAAGCAACAAATGCTGATGAGGTTGTGAAGAAACTGGAACCCTTATTCACTGTTGGTGGGAGTGTAAAATGGTGTAACCACTGTGGAAGGCGGTATGGCCCTTTCTCAAAAAGTTGCAAATAGAGATACCATTCAACCCAGCAATTCCACTACTGGGAATATATCCTAAAGAGACATAACTGACAACCAAGCAAATACATGCACACCCATGTTCACAATATTTTTTATTATTTTGTATTTTAAAGTTTAACCTCTCTTCTGGGTTCTAGGTGTGTATTGAAAAATTCTTGTTGACCACTTGAATATTTCAATGAAACTTCCTATTGTAGACTGTTTGAAATTCTCTTCCATTCTCAAGCACACCTCTGCCTGGTCCTCTTGCTTCTGTCCATAGCACTAACACCATCTATTCACACACACACACAAAATAAAGGACAGTGCCTCAATTAACATTTTGATCTATGTATCTATGTACCTATATATCTCTAGCTCTGTGTCTATATCTCTGTCTTGTTTTTCGGTGCCATTCAGTTGAGTATGACTCAGCAACCCTATGAACAACGGATCTGAACCCTGTCCTGTCCTGTGCCATCCTCACCATCTCTGACACACTTGAACCTATTGCTGGAGTCACTGTGTAAATCCATCTCATTGCACCAACCCTCCACTTTCCCAAGTATGATGTCCCTCTCCAATGAGTATCTTTTTCTAGAAACATGCCCAGAGTATACGAGATGAAGCTTCAACATCTTTGCCTTCAAGGATCAGTCTGGCTGTACCTTCTCCAATACATATGTATTTATTTCTTTTTGCAGTCCTTAGGATATTCAGCACTCTTCTCTAATGCCAGTGCTCAAAGATACCAATTCTTCTGTGATTCTTCCTCACAGTCCTGCTCTCAGATGCATAGCAAGTTACTGAAAGGACTATAGCCTGGATCAAGCACAGCTTAGTCCTCAAACTAATATCATTACTCTTTAGTAATTTGGAGAGGTCCCTGACGATAAACTTCCACAGTGTATTGTTGTTGTTGTTGTTGTTGATTGCCTTCGAGTTGAACACGACTACTTTCAGAGTGTAATATGTCTCATAAATTCCTGACTATTTGTACCAATCATATTGATTATATCTAAGTAAAATAAAGTTGTTGACCATTTCATATTTTCTTTATCTATCACTATTTTAAAAAAACAACAGCAACAATCTATCTCTGTCTAGCTAGCTAGCTAGCTATCTGCTTAATATTAAGGATTTGTACCTCCAGCCCAAAGGCATACAGTTTGAATTTACCAGTTGTTCCATAAAAGAAAGATGTGAAATTTCCTCTCATGTTTTACTGTCTTATTTCTAACACAACAGCCCATAATAACAATATCCTTTCAGTCTTTTTTCATGTTGTATCTGTAACATCAGGCCCTTTTTACTCTGTAACAAGTCATTCATTCAGAGGAGCCCTGGTGACACAGGAGAAAAAGTCTTAGTGTGCTAACAGTAAATGTTGGAAGTTCAAATCTATCAGCTGTACTGAGGGGGAGAAGGTTAGATAATTTTCTTTCATAAAGCTTTACAGTCTCAGAAACTTGAGGGAAGGTCAAATGATGTCAAGGTCTTTTGTTTTGTGTTTCAATTAAAGACATACTGCAATTAACATTTTTATAACTATCTGTCCATCTGAATACCATTTTAAATAGCTGTGTTGTAATGTCTTATATAGATTCCCTGAGTGTATTTGGGCTCATTGCTTCTTTTAATTTGCTTTTGTCAGTACTACTGAGTCTATCTTTGGTTGGATGGCAACCTGTTTATTAGACTGGTTGAAAGCTTGAATTATGGGGTTTGACGGCCTAAAGATGACTCTCTGCACTTATTAGGTGACTTTGGTGAGCTCATTATCATTTCTATGCTAGGCTCTGTCATCAGCAGAATGTGATTAACAACAATGTTAATAGGGACAGTAAAGCTTTAAATAT